CCAACAACAAGGTCCGCATCACACTCAACAAAACACATAATTAGAGTTTAACCCGTGGCTGCGCCTAGTTACTTCAGGCTGCCTACGTACCCTTACTGAGGGATCAAGCCACACGTAGTTCTTTCATATCAACGGTCACATCTCCGATAATATACAATTAATTAAAGCAGAACCAACAAATACATTTCAAATTTGTCACAAATCAATTTCCCACTAAACACAATGAACACATTTTCAAACTCTTCCTTTATATCAAATCAACCTGCAACCATACCCTATCCAAGGCGTATGTTGCCGAACAACACCTCCCAAACCGGGACGTAAACATTTATACATGTACAAGGTCCTCTCAAAGGACAATCTCACGAATCTCAATCCCGAATCAAAAACCACATATACACATATATGTATATATATATTAACACACACCTCTCACCATCATCCTGTACCAGAGGAAACAATCCAACAGAGGATCGTTTGACTAGTCCACATGGCAGAGCAATCCCTCAATTCACCATGCGTCTAGGGAACGAGCCGTCCAACTGGGGGACTAACTCTCAGCCCAGCACGTACGGACGAAGAATCAAGACCCGTACGCCTGTAAACAGTCATACGCGCGCAGACTACCCAGTCAAGGGTCTACGGTAACACCCCGTTAAGGTATGCCCGGGTATCAACACATTCACAGATCCATATCCATTTCCATGTATCAGTATCCAAAGGGAGGTACATGTGATGCTGCACATCATGTACTGGGGGAAACAATCCAACAGGGGATTGTTGACTAGCTCACAATTATCCGGCCCTCAAACGGCCATGTGGCTAGGGAACGAGCCGTCCAACTGGGGGACTAACTCTTAGCCAGCACGTACAGCCGATAAAATCAAAGCTTGTACGTCTGAAAACCAATCCTACACGCGCAGACTACCACCCCTCAGGGTCCACGGCAACATCTCGTCAAGGATGCCCCGTATTTCAACATATCCAAACCATATCATAATATTCCCGGCATCCCACAATTCCAGGATCCGTAACCAAGAAAGCCCACACGCCCGAAACACGGCACGTGTGTGAATAGTAACCAGGGAAGGTACGTATGATGGTGGAGTTCGTAACCCTGTCACAACATTATAGAATGATATTTTCTTCCTTAAGTCAATTGTGCCAAACCTCTATATCTTTCGGATATATCATAATTCTAAATCAGATAAAAACACATTGAAATATTAACACTTCCTTTCCAAGGCATCGTATTAAGAAGACATCCGAAGGGCCTGGGCAAACTCCGACGGGCCTGGGCAAAATAAATCAATCTCCGACGGGCCTGGGAAAAATAAATCTCAAACATAAAACCCATAACCGAAGAGGTATTTAAGATAGTGCGTATAGCACTTCAAACTGACAATCTATACTCTTTTCATACCTTTATAAATACATACAAAAATATATATATTAATTTCTAATATTGTAAGCACCTCAACGACAATTCACAGGGTGGCACTTATAGTGCCCTCAATTGCATCAACCTCAACCCCAAAATATAACATCCAATAAACCCCCAATTTATCACCATAAATTGATATCCTAATCCCACATAATCAATATCACTCAACA